ACTCCTAATTTCTGGCCCCACCCCGATCCTGCACCCCCCCCATCAGAGCCCTCACCCCAACCCCAATGTTGTGAACATTAATGGCCCGCCATACAATTTCTATTCCCAGATGTGGCCCTCGGGCCAAAAAGTTTGTCCCCTCCCTGCTCTAGACTGTCATAGGGAAAGGTTAATGGTGCTACCCTGGAATAGGTTGCCTGCTTTTCTCTGTAGGTTCTTAGCCGGCCCTCATGACCAGAGTATGGCCGTCTCCTTTCGCGCCTCACACACCCCAGGGGGAGGAGTGCGGTGAGGCGGTCGCTGGAGTTGAGGAATTTTGTGAGTTGTTCTCCATCACTGGAGCACCTGACAATGCAGCATTGTGTGTACAGATGCTGTGCTACCACTGCTAGGTAGGGAAGAAGGGTGGTTAAAGCACTTTGAAGAGACATGAGTTCAAGTCCTGGCTCAGCTACAGAGTCTGTGTGTGACGCTGGCCAAGTCTGTGGGAGTTAGGTGCCTAAATACCTTTGAGGAGCTGGGCCTGAGTGGCTCTGTGCCTCAGTTTCCCATTGGTAAAATGGGAATAATAGCACTGCCCTACATCTCAGGGGATTGTGAGGATGAATACTTGAGAGATGCTAAGCTACTGGGGTGCGGGAGCCCATACAGCTAGCTAACAAAAGAGCCCCATGGAAGCCCAGGTCACTGTATTCAGCATTAAGGCTACAAAATTCCCATTAAACTATAGAGTAGAAATCCCGATTCATTTTTGTGAACTCGAATGTTACCCGTGTCGCTGGCACTTTAAAAAGAAGGGTGGGGGGGATTCGAGAGTTGATCGTTTTGATCAACGCAAAACAAAAGAAGTTCCCCTTTGTCTTTACTCTTGCTCTGGCATGAAAGGCAATTCAAACGTGAGCTCCAGCGGCTGTGACAGCTGCAACCTGTTGCTAGGGGATGAAGTGTGAAGCTAGCCACAAAAGATTCTTAGTTAAAAGCAGCCCAGTAAGTAAAATAGGGGTGGTGGTAGTGGTGAACCCTTTAGAAAACAATAGCTAATGCTACGATGACGCTGAAATTGGGGAGGGGAAGGCGCATGGAAGTGCTTGTTGTAAAGCGCCTTTCATCTCTAGCTCACCAAACGACTGGGGCGACCATTTTCAGACTCCAAAAATGATCCTCTCCTCCTGCTCCCCACTGTCTGGCATTCCCAGGGCGTTTCCGTGCCAACTCTCATTTTTGTATCGGAGTACAAGGACCAACATCCTAGGCCGCAGTGATAGCAACTGAAGCCAGGAGAGTCTTGTGCCATTGATTAGAGCAGGTGTCGCCATTCCAGGCCAATGGGAGCTGCTGGAAGCGGCGGCCAGCACGTCCCTCGGCCTGGGACAGCAAACTGCGGCCAGTGAGAGCGCGATCGGCCGAACCTGCAGACGCTGCAGGTAAACAAACCGGCCCGCCAGCGGATTTCCCTGGCGGGCTGCGGCCAAAAGGTTGCCAATCCCTGGATTAGACAGAACTACACTCTCTTTTTGTCAGGTAGGAGTGCGAGGAATTGGGGCCAACATCACACAACTGCCAGCGGAATGGTTGAGCGGGGCCTCAAATCCCTTTTACCCCCAGTCCACACTGGCTTTTTTTGGGAAGGATTGGAGAGGCTGTATGGGAACGCACCGGGGCTGAGTCAGGAGGGAACAAGATTGGAAGGCAGGCTTCTGAAGTAGTGCATTGCATCATGGGCGCTGCTTATTTTCCTTCTCTCCTGACAATCTCTCTTTTCTTTCTACTTCACCACTTCTTAATTTAACGTCATCCGCTGTTGTGCAAACCCTAGCCCAGCGAAGGGTGACCTACTTAATCATTTCTTGCTGATTTCCTAATTAAAATCACAAGATCGGAGCCCAGCAAATCCATTTGGAGTTTGTCAGCTGAATAACAAACCTGATTAGATGGAAGAAAGCTTGGCTTTCGTTCACTCGACACACGGACGCCTCACTTCCTTCCCCTGGTGCATGCAACAGCGCCAGCTATTTGATTTGCCCCAACGTCATGACTAAGGAGTGTAGCTTGAGATTTCCCCAGGAACTTGTTGACGGGGAAGGAGATGTTCCTTGGGGAGGTGCAGTCACACTTGTATTGGCTTCCTGCCATTACAACTGCTCCTGACAGCTCTGACTTCCTCTTTGGATCATTAATCTCAGCAATCAAATTGCTGTAGCTTAAAATTCTGGCTGGCTGGAGCAGTCCTGCATCAGGCTGAGCCCTTCACACCTGGGGCTGGAGGAACAGCTCTCTAGGGGTGAATGCATTGGGCCAGACCTGCACTTTTCCCACTTTAACTTTTGATCTAGTCACATTCTAAGAAGAATCTGGCATCGCTCACCCTTGTAGTGACCCAGGTCAAACAAAGTGGCTTGTCATTTGGCGGCGGTTTCGAATGAATGCCATAGTGTGGTACTAGGGGCCAGCGTGCTGCTGGGCCTGGTGGCTTTCAGATGAGCTGCAACAGTGGGTCCTGATCACTTGTGGTCATTAAAAATCCTTCAGCAATTTAGCCAGGCCACTGACACTAACACAGCTTGCAGAGATGCCCATTATTAGGTCACTACATTTGACCACCTAACGACACTCTAGCTGTTGTGGCTGAAAAAAACATCCATTTTTTTCCTCTCTTAAAATTACTGGGCATTATTACGGCCACTGGCCACCCCAGACGGGGCTACAGTGCACTGGTGAGTGAGTGAGCCCTGGCTGGGCTCCATTGGGCTAGATGCCACT